TTTATAAATTTTTGGTTGATGGTTGTTTTCTTGTATGCATTGTTTGTGTGGGTACATTGTAATTTTAACTGTGTGTGGATTGACAAGAAACATATGACAGCTAAAATGGTTTGGAGTAATGCATGAGTCTTGAGGGTTGTAAGTTCAAATACTGACTAGAGTAAAAAGGAGGAAATAATGTATACTTTTTTCATAAATTGTATGGTGTACCTTGGGAAGTGAATAATTGAGATAGATACACTGAATCTGTACATAGACAAAATTAATTAAGAGAGTAAGTGGGCTTGGATAAGGAATAATATATAATTTTAATTTTAATTTTATTTATATAGTCTGGTAAAGGAAAGAAAAGGGGTCTGGAGAGCTAATTTAAAAATTAGGGTTTGGGGGAACTACAGAGTGGGTGAGAGGCAACGTGGATTGGGAGCCAAAGAGATGAGGGCAAGCCAAGTGATCTTGTGGCAAGAATATCTAGGTAAGGGGTGCCAAAACTTGTTTCTTATTTTTTTTTAACTGGTTGATTTCTTGAGTTGTTAACATGGATTTGTAAGGAGAGTATTCTTGCCATCAATACTAGGTTAAACCACCATTTATCTCATTCCTACATGAATTGGAACCAAACAAGAATATTTGATTGAAATTTTGTATGGTTGTTCTAGCATATTTTGGATACTCTATAGTTCTCCTTTAACATTTTAGAGTTTAGAAATATATTCCATGCCAAAACCTAGAGTTAGCCATAAAAATCACTAAAAATTGGATTTTTCTAGAGGAAGATGACGAAAAATGTGTTGAAAGGTGTTGCTGGAAAAATCTGTACGTAAATAGAATCTTTGGGATATTATATAAAAATATTTACTTGGTTTTTAATTCTGAAACTTTGTTTATATGTTCCTTCATATGTCTAGTTCGTGTGTAATTTATTTCAAAAAATTTTAACAAGTAGTTTTCCCATGAAAAATCTTGGAAATGATCAGGTTTTGAGTTGGGCGAAACAGAGTTTCTATGTCCGCCCAACAACTTCGAAAAATCATATAAAATCGAGATCGATGTGTTTTGAGATGAAATTTTTATCGTAGTTATGACTGTATGTTAAGTATATTTAATTTCGTAATTTTAAGACTATTATTTTATTTTATAAAAATATATCTTTCAGTACTGCCTCATGGTGGAATTTTCAAAACGATGTTATTCCTATTTTCATTTCATGTTGTTCTGCTATTGTTTTATTTTATTGTTGTCACTGTCTATATTATTTTGGTGCAGAATTTGTGGGAGTTATATGTTAAAACCCTTAAATGTTAGAAAAAAAATACTTGAATTGTGATATGATGTAATTACATGATGAGTCTAGGTATGTTTGATCTGCGATGAGATGTGAAAGTGATGAAGATCTTATTGAATCATTTGATAAAATGAAGATCTTGTTGATTTGATGAAGTCAAATGAAGTCAAAGGTTATTCTGTTGAAGTTAAAGGTTACTTGGTTAAAAGGGTAGAGTGATTAGTGATTCTGCATCTATACATAGGTATAATCATTCATATCTCTCTGCTGCATGTGGTTTCTTCATTTAAAAGATTTTGAAAATGCCTCTAAACGTGTTTAATCTGTTAAAAACCAAAGTAATCAGTTAAATGGTTTTTAAGTAATTGTTTTAACTGATATTATATGAGCTTTATCAGTTAAAATGTTCTTAACACTTACATAACAGGTTTTTAACTGATAAGTTTTTTAAATAATCGATTAAAACCTTTTAAAACATTCAGTAGAAATGTTTTAATCGATATATCTTCAAATTAATCGATTGTTTTCATTAAAGGAGTTTTTGAAAACCTTCTCGCAGTATTTTAACTGATATAGATTCGAAATAATCGATTAAAATGACTTAAAATGCTTTGGAAAGTGTTCTGACAGTATTTTAATCGATACAAACTCGAAATAATTGATTAAAATAACTTGAAGTGTTTTGAAAGATGTTATGTCAGTATTTTAATCGATGTAAATGCGAATTAATCGATTAAAACCACTTGAAAGGTTTTGAAAGAAGTTCTATCAGAAATTTAATCGATGTGTTATTAGTTAAAATCACTTAGAAAGTTTTATGAAAATATTTGGCAGTATTTTAATCGATTAAAATACAAATTAATCGATTAAAACAACTAAGAGATTTTTTACAAAGTGTTTTAATCGATTAAAACAGACTGTTATCAGTTAAAATTACTTAGAAAGTTTTATGAAAATTTTGGCAGAATTTTAATTGATTAAAAGGCGAATTAATCGATTAAAACAACTTAAGGGATTTTTTACAAAGTGTTTTAATCGATATAAACATTGTCGTATCAGTTAAAACAAATCTAGAAAATGATCAAGAACATTTTAACAGATTAAAAGAAGTTTTAACAGATTAATTCAAGAATTTTAACAGATTAAAAGATTGTTTTAACATATTAATTAAACCAATAGTTAGAACAATTCTCTATATAAACAGGATTGCTTGAGTCTTTTGAAATATACCTTTGAGCAATCAATCAAGAAATCATAAGAGCTACTTTCAAGAAAGAATCATGCAAGTTTTGTGAAGTTTTTCAAAGTTCTTTCTTGAGGCATTTTTTGTATTTCTTTTGTGAAGAAACTCATTCTGCAGAGCTGCATAATCCGAGTTTAAGTGTTCTAGTTTCTTCTCTTTGTTTCTTTACATTTCATTACTGTATTGTGGGTGTCTGGAAGTGTGGGCACCGGTTTTTGTGGTTGGAATTTGGCTGCAGGGTGGTTCAAGAACTGGAAGTTGGTTCTTGGTGAAGGTTTAGGTGCAAGGATTGGAATTTTGGTTCTTGTGGTAGATTGGGTGTGTGATTGGAATCTGTAATCTGTAAAACATTCAATCTACTAGAACACAGCTGGAATTTGGCTGAGAACTGGACGTAGCCCTGGGATTGGGTGAACCAGTATAAATCTTGGTTGTATTTCTCTAAACCTTACTCTCTTTAATTATGCCGCTGCCTTTATTTTGATTCTTTGTTTTGCTTGATTCAAGAATTGGTCAGAACTCTTAATCTTTGAAATAAATAATTTGTAAATTGCGAAAATCTTTCAAAGATCAATTCACCCCCCTTCTTGATCTCAGCCTCCTTTTCTAACAAGATGTTGTATGCATATGTGTGTATATAGGTGAGGGAACAATATGAGTTCTTTGATAGCCATAAATCCAGAATGATTTCTTTACCTAGAGGACTTTGTCGAGTCATGGTAAAGGGATTTCGTTCCTCCGTAAGTCTTTAGCATGAGCTTAGCAAGAGTGCTCCATCCAAGGCTTTTTCGAGCGGGTGGAGTTGTTGCTTGTGAGTCTATGGAAATTAGGGGAAGGGACTTTTCCAAGATGCGTTGGTGCACAGGAAATGTATGGGGGGTTGGCTATGAGAGAATTTTATATCGTTTGTTTTTACTTGGTGGTAATATGATAGGGACTTTTCCAAGAGGCGTTGGTACGCAAGAAAAGTATGGGGGTTAGCTATGAGAGAATTTTATATCGTCTATTTTTAATTTGTCGTAATATGATAAAGTATTATTGTTGTAGTGTTGAAAATATGTAATTGTGGATATTATGAATGAGTTTTGTTACATTATGATAATGCTAAGTGAATTATATGATGACATGCATGATATGTGATAGGATACATGTTTTGCTCACCCTTGCATGTTTGTGGTGTTGTTTTCCACTTGCGATGATCGTATGACTTATGTTATGTGGGAGTAGATGTTGATGCAGATACTGTTAGAGAAGCTTAGCGGTGAGGAGCTCGCGGGGAATCTTTTTGGGAGTTTTTTTTAGATATTTAAAAATGTTCTTTTGAATATAATGTAATAGTGTAGTGATTTTGAGTTTGCACTGGAAAGACTTGATATTAAGTCTCATTTTCATTGTTCAAGTTAGTTGTTAGGATGAACAAAATTTTATTTTGACGAATAAAAAGGTTTAGGATAAATCTTTTATCAAGTGTTATTTGAGATAAAATAGTTGTGGAAAAAAATTTACACGTGGCATCTCGAAATGGGTGTTACATTTGTGGTATTAGAGCCTAGTTTTTACAGTTTTAAAGTTTTCAGTTTTTTGAAAATTTTGGGTTGTGTGGAAGTGAGCTAGATGCCTTTTTGTTGTGTGCTTTGTGCATGCTTTGATTGCAGGATATCTTTGGAAGAGTCTGTGAGTGAGTATGATGTTGGTAAATTCTGATGTGGTTAGATTGTGTGCTAGTGATGTTTGGGTGATATATTTTGTGTGCCTTGGATGATTGAAGTACTTATATTGTTAGGCCGATTTATTTTACTTGATGTATGTGGTCCAGATGGCACGTCATGGACCAAGTACTTTAAACCCTGCCCAACCCGCTAATGAGAATGCATTGGCCATCCAACGAATGGTCGATGCAATTCTGCAGCAAAACGCCAACAATGCACCTGGGAATTAGGTCAGCATGAACAATTTCATGAGGCACAATCCTGCCAAGTTCAATGGAAATGCCACACCTAATGAAGTGGATGCTTGGATTCAAGAGAATGAGAAGATCTTTAGGGTCATTGTTTGTCCTAAAGAGCAAAAGTTGACTTATGCGTCGTTTCTTCTGGTTGGTGAAGCTGAATACTAGTGGAATAATATGCAGCAACAAATGGAAGGCCATGGTGAAGCGGTTAATTGGACCAAATTCAGGGCGAGATTCCTGGAGAAGTTCTTCCTTGATAGTGCTAAGTTCGATAGAGAGGCAGAATTTTTGATGCTGCAGCAAGGAAAAATGACTGTGCAAGCTTATGTGAACCGGTTTTAATATCTGACCCAGTTCTATACCCAGAATGTGACTAAGGAGTGGAGGTGCCGCAAATTTGAGAGGGGGTTGAGACATGAGCTAGCGAAGGTCATTATGCCGATGAGGATCAGGTAGTTTCCGGTTTTAGTAGAACAAGCTAAGACAGTAGAACATTTTGAAGTGGACCCTAACCTGTTTTCATGACTCAGCAGGGCAGCTTCTCTAGAAGCAGACAACAGAAGAAACCATATGATAGACCTCAGCATTCTACTCCAGAAAATGTGAGATGCTTCGAATGTTGCAGTGCTCACTTCAAGCGTAATTTCCCTAATCTGGTTGAAGTGAAGACGGAGGAAAGAAGATGCTACATTTGCAATAAACCAGGACACTTCGCGAATACTTGCCCTGAGAAGAAGTCAGGGAGAAGATCACAGCAACAAAAGGCTTATGGTGAGAAGCCTCAGGCAGCTGGCCAAGTGTTTGCATTATCTGGTGTGGAAGCTACCCGGTCAGGTAATTTAATCCAAGATACTTGTATTTTGTCTGGAAAATGTGTGTGTGCTATTTGATTATGGAGCTACACATTCTTTTATATCCGAAGCATGTGTGAAAGAACTTGGTTTGTCTACGGGAAATTTGGGGTGTGAACTGGTGGTTGCTACACCAACGTCAGTGTTGTCGCCGTCAAAAGAGGCGGTCGGAGCGACGCGATGGTATTCCGACTTCTACTTCGCTTTTTAAAATGTGATGCTACAACACCTTTAGGTTGTCTGATAACTGGGCTGGACCTAAGGGTGAGGTTTTCGAAAAGGGTTCTTATGGAGTTGCCACCGATGTTTTTACTGGAAACATCGAAAAAGGAAAAAAAAAAGAAGGCATTGGTTTAAAGAACCAACTTTGGCCATTAAAACCAGAGTCAGGTAAGGGAGATAGTTACGTGTGAGGAAGGTATTAGCACCCCCACTACGCCCCTTTCAGGTTCCCTATGATGGGCCGTTTATTTCATAAATAAACTTTAAAATGATGTTTTTACCCTTTGTAGACCTCAAATCTTGCCCGGCCTCAAAATAAAGAGCAGAAGACCTCCAATTCGAAGATGGGTAAGACCTAAAAAGCCACTAAGAGAGACTATTAGGCCCCATATTAGAGTAGAAAGGCTTTTCTGTACGAAAAAAATAAGGATTCCCACCTTAAGGGGTCGAGACCGTCGTCTAGCTTTTTGGGACCGTCGTCTCACTGAATGGCAAGTCGAGACAGTCGTCTCGTTTGGCGAGACGGCCGTCTCGCCACTTGCCATTGGCGAGACCACCCTCCTGTTTGTCGAGACGGCCCTCTCGTCATTTGGCAAGTCGATATCACCGTCTCGTCAAACGAGACGGCGGTCTCGCCATTCGTCAAAGTCGAGACCGCCGTCCCGAATGGCGAGACCGTCGTCTCAACCTTGCCAGGCAAAACGACGGTCTTGACCTGATAGGCGCGAATCCCTATAAATAGGGGGCGCTCTCCCCTTCATTTCACATAGTTCTTCCATTCCTCCTTCTACATTTTCTTAGAATTCCTCTTTTAGAGCCCCTCCGAAACATTTTCGGAGTTTCTGAGTGTTTTAAGAGAGTTTTTATAGCGAAAAAGCGACATTATAGAGCGAAGGGCTGCCAAAACACACCCTATTTTTTACGAGAATTAATCAAAGCTTGCTTCGGAGGTTTCTTCATTCTCCCTCTCTCTCTTTTATCGCTTTATTATTTATATATGCGTTAATTAGGGCCATGTAGTCATCATTTTTTTATTCCGCAAATAAAAGGGTAAAAGCGTTATTTCAAAAGTTTATTTATAAAATAATTGGCCCATCATAGGGAACCCGAAAGGGGCGTCGTAAGGGAGCTAATACCTCCCTTACACGTAACTAACTCCCTTACCCAACTCTGGTTTTAACGACCAAAGTTGGTTTTCCTTAAAAAACCAACGCCTTTTTCTTTCCTTTTTCGATGTTTCTAGTGAAAACATCGGTGGCGACTCCATAAGAACCCTCTCAATCTTGCTCTTAGGTCAGCCCGGTTATCGGATGATCTAAGAGCTCCTTTTTGGAAACATCACCCTTAGGTTCAGCCCAGTTATCGGACAACCTAAAGGCGTTGTAACCCCACCCATATTAAGTGCGAAAAATGAAAAGTTTGAACCATTGCGTCGCTCCGACCGCCTCTTTTGATGGCGGCGACAGATGGCAACTCCACTGGGGAAGCCTAGAGAATTGATCCCATTTAGTGATGGACCAGTTTAATAAATAAATTTAGAAATTTCGCCTTTACCCTACCTTGTATTATAACATGCTTTAATTTCTTGGCTTTAATAACTGTTGTTTGTTTATGTTACGGAACTGTTTGAAATAAAAATTGTACACAAACCTTTGCACACAACAGTTCCCTCTATACCCAGGGGCAAGTGAGAAATCCATAGGGAGTGGGTGGCAGGTACGGTTTGTCGTAGTGAGAGCCATGTGCCCACCGGTATGATCGAAAACCACCACTCAAGGTGATAACCTTCCTCTTTTGGGACAAAGACTAACTATGACCTTAGTGCTAAGCATGGTCAGAAGGCTGGAGAGTGGGGACCCTATAATGGGGGCACCTTGGGGGCCTAAGCCTTGGTGAGAACAGTTAGAACCTACCTTTGCCAATGCACTTTTCTGAAGGAAAACCCTACCTCGTGATTAAAACGACTTCTCGCCTGATCGCAAATGAGTGATGTCGCCGCCGTAAAAAAAGAGAGAAGGTGGTCGGAGCGACGCGATGGTTTCGACCCTCTTGATTTTTGCGTTTTTTATGGGTGGTTACAACGCCTTTAGGTTGTCCGATAACCGGGCTAACCTAGGGGCGAGGTAACCACCCGTAAAAAACGAGAAAATCAAGAGGGTCGAAACCATCGCGTCGCTCCGACCGCCTTCTCTCTTTTTTGACGGCGACGACAGATGGCGACTCCACTGGGGAAGCCTCGAGAGTTGATCCCATTTAGTGATGGGCCGGCTTAAAAATAAATAAACCAAGAAAATAACGCTTTTGCCCTTAACTTGTATTATAACATGTTTTACGGTTTGGCTTTAATAACTGTTGCTTGTTTATACTTACGCAATTGTGTGAAATACAAACTGTACACAAACCCTTGCACACTACATTTCCCTCTATACCCGGGGGCAAGTGAGAAATCCATAGGGAGTGGGTGGTAGGTACGATTCGCTGTAGTGAGGGCCTTGAGCCCACCAGTGTGATCGGAAACCACCACTCAAGGTGATAACCTTCCTCTTTTGGCAACAAGACTGACTATGGCCTTAGTGCTAAGCATGGTCGGACGGCTGGAGAGTGGGGACCCTATAATGGGGGCACCTTGGGGGCCTTAGCCTGGTGAGAACAGTTAGAACCAACCCTTGCCAATGCACTTTTCTACAGGAAAACCCTACCTCGTGATAAAAACGAATTCTCGCCTATTCGTGGATGACCGAATTGTGTGTGCATATGTTTGTTGCATTTGTCTGTTGCATAGCATAAACAAACAACAAAACAAAAATCAAAAATATTTTTGCAATAAACGCCCTTATCTCGGACAGTCTGCCTTTTAGCTAGCTTGGTTTCAGGTTCTTTGTAAGCTAAGTAGCCACGCAGTTCCAACAGAAGAGATAAGGGACGCTAACTATTCTTTCACATAAAGCCACATTTTATCTCGGACAGTCTGCCTTTTAGCTAGCCTGGTTTCAGGTTCTTTGTAAGCTAAGTAGCCACGTAGTTCCGACAGAAGAGATAAAAGGCTATAAAATAAACAAATAAAAATAAAATATGTTTCCAAAACAATAAATGGGACCTGAGTCATAAACATCCCAAATCATTCATATAGGTAGTTTATTTTTCGAAAAAATACGTATCATACAAAACATGAAAAACAGAAAATAAACACTCACATTCATTCAAATAAGAATCCTTTTCATCAAACATACATTTTGGTTTTAGAAATGGAGGGGACTAGTAGACAGCCAAAGAAGGTGGATATTCCCCGTTTCCATACTGAGAGGTTGGAACGGCTGAGCGCGGCAATGCCATCTGAGGTCCGCGCCGACTTTGAAAAATCCTATGGACGAATTTTGGACTTGCTGAAGATCTGTGTCAATCAGGTGTTCCTCAGGGCACTAATCCACTTATGGAATTCCAATCTGCGGTGTTTCGAATTTCCGCAGTTCGACATGGTGCCCACCCTAGAGGAGTATGAGACCATGTTGAAATGGCCCAAATCAGCCGGGGTCCATGTCCGCCACGAGGCATACACTCCTGCACCACTAGTCGCTGCCCTTATTCAACTACCATTCCAGCAGAGTACCCTGATAAAGAAGGGGAACGCCCAGGGTTGGAAAGTATCAATGTTAGAAGACCACCTGTCCTATCTGGCTGAAAGGGCAGAGTGGGTCGCCTTCAACAAAACCCTGGCCCTAATCATTTTTGGAACGATCTTGTTCCCCTTCCACTTCGACACAGTAGATCAGGCCGTCATGGACGCCTTCTTCGCCTGGGACGTGAACTCGAAAAGTCCCCTGCCTGCATTCCTTGCCGACACCTTGCTTTCGGTGGAATTCTGCCACCAGAAGCAAGGAAAAACACTCCACTGCTGCTCTTCATTACTATTCGTGTGGAGCGCCATGCACCTTTACGCCTCCAGCCACATGGGGATATTCTCCGACCCTTTAAGGAGCTTCTCCAAGATCCCCCTCCAACGACGCCTGACTTTAGAATGGAGGAACGGGTGGGAACAAAAGGACGCCAACAGTTTATCCTGGGTCTGCCCTTGGTTCCGACCTGGCCCATTTCTCATCAGATGCGGGGACTATCCGAGCGTACCCTTGATAGGACTCAGGGGTTGCATAGCCTACTCACCTAGAGTAGTTATGAGGCAGCTCATGAGGACCCAAACTACTGTCTCTCGGGGAGAACTCGGAGGACTGTGTTTCTTTGGAGACCCGTGCACAATCGCCAACTCACTAGCTGTGAGAAAAGCATGGGAGAGGCCAGTCTATATGGGGGATAGAGAGCTAGGAAAAGCTCGGGTGGCTGTCACCAGTGACTACGAGGCGTGGAGAAAGAAAAGAGGGATGGCTCAACCATCCACCACACCCACTACAAGCGCCAATAATGAAGGGCTGCAGGCTCAAATTAATGCCTTGACCCAGAGGATGGAAATCATGGGAGCCCAGATGAGGGCCCTTTAGGAAAGAGAGCAAGCATACATCCTCACAATTGACGGTCTATAAAGGCAAGGCAAGAAAAATGATCATGAAATAGAGCGCCTCAAGGACCAGTGTGCTGACTCCAATGAACAAGCTATCCGAGCATCCAAAACTGCCAGAACTAGTTCGGATAGCCGACTTCAAGAAATAACCGCCAAGTCAGCACACCTTGAGGCCGAATCATCAAAGCAGGCTCAAACGATCAAGGAGTTGTCGCAAGAGCTCACCGAGACTCGGTTAGATATCCGCCAAGAGCGAGAGGCCAACCGGAGACTCAACAAAAGTCTCGCTGAGCTACGCTGCAAAGAAAGAGATGGGCTAGCTCAGTACGACCAGCTACTACAAGAGAAAGACCGAGTCGTTGAAAAGCTCGATGAACTACAAGCCTTGGTCGTTCATCAAGAGGCGAAGATCAAAGAGGCTCAGAAGTACAGTG